CCAAAGAGTGTTAGGCATCACTGAAGTCTTTCTGTCTGAGTGACCTGAAGACTTATTACACTTGAGGACTATGTATCCTCCAGCCGGTTAGGCGTCGCGTTCTGAGCATCCAAGAGTCATTGTGGATCGCCGGTGAACGAAGTTTGTGAAGGTTCGAAAGTCTACCTTGAAGACTTACCAGAGTGATTGGGCGAGGACTGTGTGTCCTTAGCTCAAGGGGAATAAGATGAAGACGCGGTCTTCTGAGTTGAATCTCAGCCTTCCTAACCAGACATACAGTTGTCATAGCAACTGGAACTGGTCCAACAAATCCTGTGTCTTCAACAAGTGACTGGTTCTATCCTCTCCCTCCCTTTACTTCGAGTTTGTCTTCGTGAAGTCATTGCCTATTTGTCGTACCTGTTTGACTTCATTGCTTGACTACTATCGTTGATTGGCTTCATACTATCTTCCATCCTGATCCTTACTACCTTGTTGCTATTAGTCTTTGTACTTTCACATTATTGCATACTTGACTATGGCTTGCTTGTTGTTGTTTATCTTCCGCTGCATATCAATTAGGTCATTTCTATTGTTTGTCTTCGAAACTTCCATGTTTTGAAGACTTTGATAAAAATCTCCTATTCACCCCCCTCTAGTCGATAACTAGCACTTTCACTTGCACATTGCTGATGATTGGGGAGCAAAGCATCAGGAGGATTCCGGCCATGGCTGCGCACTTGAGCTGATCCGCAGAGCTGAATGTCATAGCGCATGCTGACCACCTGAGAGGGCGCGTGGCCTCAAGCTTGGGGAGGACTGCATTCACCTTGCGAGCAAACTGCTAGAAGATGCGCTGAGAGGCTGGGGCCTGAGCGCCGCCCAAGATGCAAGCGATTGTGCGCGGCTCCTGGAAGCCCCCAGGCCCTTCGTCCTGATGATGGTCTTCATTCCTCCTCGGCTGAGGTGGCAGAGAAGGGAGGCCTGTGTTGCCTTGAGGGTGATCCTCACGAGGCTGATCCCTCCAACCTCCCTCGCGAGGCTGGTCCTGCCAGCAGTCCTCGCGAGGTCGGTCACGCCACCCTTGGCGAGGCCACCGTCTTCCCATCGTCCTCCACCTCTTCCTCCTCCTCGGCCATAGCCCCGTTCGTTGCGCTCGGGGCGTCGGCCGACACGCACATCTCGCACAGCCCTGAGCTCTTGGCATTCGTTGGTGTTGTGGGTGTGGAGGTCGTGGTACGCGCAGTACCGGCTGCCCTTGGATGACTCAGGCTGATCCCTGCCTTGCTTGGTGTCCGGCTCTGCTGCAAGCACAGCAGCCCCCTTGCGCTTCACGTCCTTGACCTTGGGCTTCTTCTCTTCTGGATCGGCAGCCGGAAGCTCGAGGAGGGAGAGGCGCCCTTCCTCAGCCCTGGCGCACTTGGTCGCCAAGTTGAACAGCTCCAGGGATGTGCACAAGTCTTCATGGATTGCCAACTCCTCTTTCATCTTGATGTCACGCACGCCGTCAGAGAAGGCTGAGATGATGGCCTCCTCAGTCACCCTGGGGATCTTGAGGCGAGCGTTGTTGAAGCACTGGATGTACTTTTGCAGGGTCTCTCCTGGCTGCCGCTTGATGCGGCGCAGGTCGCTCATGGCCGGGGGCCGGTCGCGAGTGCCCTGGAAGTTGGAGATGAAGCGAGTGCGCATCTCGTCCCAGGAGGAAATCGTGCCAGGAGCCAGGTTCAGGAGCCAGGTGCGGGTACCGTCCTTGAGCGCCATGGGGAACCAGTTCGCCATGATCTTCTCGTCCCCGTTGGCGGCTTCGATGCCCAGCTCGTAGAGCTGGAGGAACTCCGTAGGGTCAGCCGTGCCGTCGTAGCGCGGGGACAGATCTGGCTTGAACTTGCCCGGCCAGGCCACGCTGTGCAGCTCGGCGGTGAAGGCACGGCAGCCTGCAGTGGCCACAGGAGGCCTTTGGTAATGAAGAGCTTGATATTGGAGGTCTCCGCACGCTGTCGCCAGGAGCAGCGCGGGGTCTTGGCGCGCTGGAGCAGGAGCGTGGTCGTGACGGGCCGGTGCGGGGAGCACACGGGCAGCTTCTTCGGGACGAGGGATCTCTTGGCAGCTCTTCTCTTGCTGCACGGGCACCGGACGGAGCGGGTCCCGTCCAGGGGCCACGCGCCTTGGGGCCATGGCGCCTTCTTGAGGGGGAGGCGGCTGAGGCGCCTCCGAAGCTGCGTTGCCCGCGCAGGGTGGGTGGCGGTGCAGCGAGAGGGATGGTGCAGGGGAGCCCCCAGCGGCGCTGACGAGCTCGGTGATGCAGGCGAGCCACTCGTTGTAGAGGTCATCGACGGGACGATAGTGCAGGAGCTCTCGCGCCAGGAGCAGCGCGGCGTGCGCGTCCGCGGGGGCGCGACGGGCGCGGGACGGCGAACCGGCTGGAGTCAGCGACGGGGTGGCGGTGCGGCCTTCCCGCCGCACCGAGGGATGCAGAGACGACGCCTACTGCTCGTTCCCCGCCGGGGCGGTGGCGGCGTGGACAACAGGCGACGGGGAACAACGGGGAGGCCCTCCGACGGGGGCCGTCTGGGCGACATGGGCCGCGAGGGCATCCCGACGCTCGGCGCGGGCTCGACGAGCATCAGACATGGATGCGACGGACGGCGAAACGCAAGACGGCAGTAGGCGGATTCCGACGCACCCCTACCTGGCACGCCAAATGTCGGATTTCGGGTTCCGGCAGACCCTTAAGGTTTGAACTCTGGGGTGCGCGCGGAGATCACTCCCCATACCAACTCACGTCTCGTCGCCTCGCAAAGGATCTAAACTACACGAAGAACAACACAAGGGACGCGAGGTTTATACTAGTTCGGGCCACCACTGTGGTGTAATACCCTACTCTAGTTTGTGGTGTGGTGGATTGCCTCAGGGGCTGATGATGAACAATACAAAGGAAGAACTGCCTCGCGAGGGGAGGAGTTCTTGTGTTGGTGGATCTGGCTAAGGTTCGCTTCGTCGACCTTCAGATGCCTCTATACTATGGTGGCTAGCCCTATTTATAGAGCGAGGCCCTAATCCTCTTCCCAAATATTGAGTGGGAAGGGCGCCAACAATTGGCCATTTTGAAGGGGAACATCTAGTACACTTATCCTGACTAAAGTTGGTCCTCGCCTGCCAAAGACTCTGACGATGACGCCTTCCTGGGCTCCACGATGACCTCCATCCTGCCGTTCTGCTGGTCTTGGTCTTGTTGCACCGAAATGGTTGCCTTTGCTTGATACCCTTGCCTGCGCTTGCCCCCTTTGCACCAAAGAGGAAACAAGGACTCTGTGCAGGCCGGCGCCCGCCTGGCTTCGGTCGTCATGGCTTGCGTCATGGGCACCTCGTGAGGTATCCCGCCTTAATCTCTCCGCCTCCTCGCGAGCCAGCCTGACGAGGCTGCACCCGAGGAAGCTTCCTGTCGTCCGTCTCGCGAGGCTTGGCCCCTCGCGAGGGTCTTGAGCTTGTGTTGACGAAGGTGGGCCGTACTGGGCCACTCCTTGAGCCACGCCGCAGGCCGCAGGCAGGCAAGTCTGGGTACCCCCGTTGCCAGAATGCCGACAGCTTCTGCATCTTTCTCCTTGGCTTTCACTACACTTAGTCTTCAAATCTCACAGACGACATAAGCGTCAAGTAGTAACCATCCTTATTGGACCGACAAACATTAAATTTCCTATGATTTAACCATTCTTTTCCGTATGTAGTCACCGTCCTACCTAGGGATCTAGATACCTCCAGCTGTCGCATCTCCTCCGCTGGTAGTTCATCATCATCCTCCTTCATGGGCTCCGCGGGTGGGGGAGTGCGGGAAGGCTTTGCTTTATCTATAAAGCGGGGCGAAAGCCTGTTTCGAGAGGAGTGAGGGGAGGCCCCAATCCATCGGTGGGAGTTTTAGTTCACTCTCATCTTGGGGCTTTTCATAGGTCTTTGGTGTTTGTCACTTTGGCCCTTCTGGCAGTGGTGGCAGCACCACTTCATAATGGTTCATCCGACTTCTTCTATGTCTAAGGCGATGCGTGAGATGTTGGTACCCGCGACGGAATCTGATAGATATGTAGGTCTTTGTTGTCTGTCGCTTTAGCCCTTTTGGCGGTGGTGGCGATGGTGGGCAATAAGTCCTCTTGTTTCTCCAGCTTTGGCGATGCGTGCGCTGTCAGATCTAGCAGAAGGATCGACCGAACAGGTTTGCCTTTCCACTACGGGCAATGCAAGGAGAGTTGGTTGTGTCTTTCGTCGGGCCGATGGTGCTTTGGCTGTAACGGTTACTATTTATTACACCCTCGACTCGGGCGAACATCTAGGTGTGATCAACTCAGCACCATCTTCTTCTTTGGGCCATGGATCCTCCGTGATCAATGCCGCTGACAGTTCACGACAAAGATCAATGGCTTCCCAGCCGCCTGTGTGGATACAACTTTATTGTGCTAGCGATGGCATGAAACTCCAACGACATCAATTTCGGCGCGCCACCGATTGTGCGGGATGGCGGATTCCTTCATGTAACGCCAAAGTTTGATTAATGCAGAGCCACAACTCATTCACCCAAAAAAAATCGAAATATAAATTTTCATGATTTTTTTGGCGAATGAATAAATTTCATGGGATTTATTTAACAAGAGCGTTCATCTAAATTCGGCACCTTTTTGGAGGGACCTTTGGTGCCCTAAATTACCACAAATGGAAAAAAAACTAGAGTGGCACGTGCTCTATTGCCGTTGACCCATCCTAGGGAAAGAGGTTGACTCCAATCCCACCCTCCCCCTCGATCCCTATCCATCATCAAATCCATCCCTTTCAGCACAAAGCCTGCGCCTTTCTCCCCATCGCCGCCGGCCCCTCCCCTCTCCCCCGCCGCGGCCGGCCCTCCACCACGCGCCGGCGCAATTCCGCCGCGCCCCCAACAGCCCCCGTCGCCGCGCGCGTCCGCCTCGGCCGGCAGCGTTCGCCGTGGTATCATAGCCTGTCCATCCGCCCAGCCCTAACCCGCCGGCCCGCCCCCCATGGCCGGCGCGTTCCGCGAGGGCGGCGAGGAGGCGGGGGCTCCTCCTCCTCTCCCTCCTGCCACTGGTCTCGCCAAGTACATCTCGCTGGGCACGGCCCCCCCGGCGGGGGAGCCCAGGCACGCGCGCCACGCCGAGCTGCGGCGGGCGCTCCAGGCGGGCGACCCGCCGGAGGAGCTCCGGCGGGTCCGCGACAGCGTCGCCGAGTCCTCCGGCAAGGCCAGGTACGTGCCCCCATCCTAAACCCACCGGTGCTTGTTCCCTGTGCCTCGTTGCTAGTTGGCTGATCGGTCTGCCTCTGCCAGGGACAAGGTGCGGTCGCTGGAGGACGCGATCCAGAAGATCGAAAAGTACAAGAACGTCGTCACGCGCAGGCGGCAGAGGAGCGATGCCGGCGCCGTCAAGCCGGCGCCGCCACCCGCTGCCCCTGTCGGCGCGGCGTCCAGACCCGGTGCTCAGGGATACAACAACACCTCCCTGGGGGCAATTAGCAAGCGCATGCGCTCCTCGATGTCGGACGGACGGGTTCGTGCCGCATTTTATCACACTATCAAGTGACATTGTTCCATTATATGGATGCTTTCAAATACTCAGTTGTCAATTCACCAATTTTTAGTCTTATCGGTTTCAGGCCTATAGTTTGTAGCTTTAACAAATGTTGCAATTTGGAGTACCTGCCTTGTTTTTGGCTAATTACTTGCTGGAACCAATAAGATTTCATACAGTTTTCTGACTGTAAAGTTATGCCATGGGTGGTTTGAAAACCAGTATAAGATTTCATACAATTTTCTGGCCTTCTGTAAAGCAGGACAAGGGTGGGAAGATGGTGATTTAGGTTTAATGTCCATAGAAACAACCGATGTTCCTTCTCTGTTCTCTGACCATTTAGTCTATGTTGCTAGTGTGGTCATTTCATAATCCAAATGCAGTCCTCAATTTTGAACCTATCCTAAAACTTGCTCATTTTTATGGATTGGCCTCTGTCTCTGATTCGTACTTCCCTGCTGTAACTTGTTCCTCGGGGATTTAAAAAAAAATATAAAAACTGTAACTCTGGGTGAGCTTGTTTGAGTGACCTATCTCTAAAACCTGAAGTTTTAAAAGTTTTTTATGTCTGCTATTCTTTCCACAGTTTCTGTAACAGATCACACTCATGATGTTTTCATACTCCATAAAATTTCTCGTGTTACCATTTTCTGCGATTCCAACTTATTTCAATGTGTTTCTGCATATTTCAGTTGGAAGGACGTGGTAGTGTTCCAACAAGGCAAGGTCCTCTAGCTAATAGTGCTAAAACTTCACCACTGGAGAAGGAAAAGACTTGTGCAAGAACATCTGTTGCAGTATCGGAGTTGTCTGAGGACAAATCACAGGACTCACCTAAAGTAAAGCGCAAGCGCTCTCTGGGAACAATGCTCAGTAGAAGCAATGATGCTGATCGAGATGTTAAACCTGTGGGTCAAAGCAGGCCAGCCAACGAAGCACGCCCGCGGTCTAGTGATGGTCTTGCGTTCAGGTAAACTTTGTTTGGTGTGCTTACCTGTTGCTTCAAGTTTTCGTTCTTTTTTTTTAATGAAATAGAGAGCGAACATGGTAGATGTGACATCTAGGTTGGTGAGTACTATGCTGAACTAAAGTTTGTAATGTGAAAATAACTCAAGCATAGTACCATGGTAGATGTGACATCTAGGTTGGTGAAACATCATACAGACAAAGTTCATAATCGAAATAGAGAGCGAGGCCTGACATGCAGTGCATTGAAAAAAGACAAGCATCACTAGAAAGATGAATGTCATTACTATGTATTGCCATCAGGCGTAACCCCGAGATTGGTGCTTGGGGTTTCTTCAGCTCTTTGTTGGCTAAACTGCTGTTTATTTATTTGATCCACATAGGTTTTTCGTTAGGTTGCAATCATATTTGTGCTGCTTACCTACTCTACTTAAATCCTCTACCAGCACTATTTGGCTATATGTGGACATCTGTTCTGCTAATTATGTCATCATTTCCTCACCAGGTTAGAACTCACCGTTTTTCATTCTTTTATTGCAGACATGGAGCTTCTGCCGGAGCAGTAGCAGGTAGCAAGATGGATAGCAGTTTTCAGCAGAATAACATTGGGTCGCGTATTCTATCCAAGATTGATGTTGATTATGCCAGTCTGCCAAATGAAAGAAGAATCCGGCATGCTGGACCTGGAAAGGAGCGTGCTATGATAAAAGGAAACAAGTAAGCATAGTCCTTTACTTTATTCTCATGCATAAGTAACTCTCATCTTGACAAATCACACTTTGTTTTTTTGCATATACTTAAATAAGTACTGCAACATTATCATTCTTAATTCTTCTGATGATCTGCTGCATTTCTGTATATGCAGGGTACATACTTCTGATACAAACTTAAGTCCCTCGCCCAAGACTAAAGCATGCAGGTCACCAAGAACAAGTTCAGTTGTCATGCCCCCCTTCCAACGTTCAGCTGGAGTAAGCGATGAATGCGAAGAAGCACCTTGTTCAAATAAAGCCTCACCTTTGAGAAGCATGACAAACCGCAAACGTTCAGGTGGTTCGATACCTTCAAATGCGTCCACACCTCCGATTGCTTGGGTTGGTCAGCGCCCACAGAAAATTTCGCGGACAAGGAGAGCGAATGTAGTGTCTCCAGTCTCAAATTTAGATGAAGCCTTATCTGATGGATCTCCACTTGATACTGCTGCTAGGTCATCTACTGAGTTATGCGGTGTTTTGCTTCCAAAAAATGTAACTGGCAGTAATTCACAAAAGGTAGCCAAGATTGATAACATGTCATCTCCTGTTGGGTTGTTTGAAAGTGGGCGGCTCGCTGCTACCGAAAGCAAAGCTAAGGAGAAAGTTAAGAATAGTGGTGAGATGGAGAATGAGGAGGCAACTGCTGTTCACAATGCAACAGGATCAATTGTTTCATCAAATAGGGCACCTTCCAAAGAAAAGCCTGAACATGGAGCTGTTCTTCAGCATGGGAGGAGCGGAAGAGGTTCTATGGACTTGAAAGGGTGCTCTTCAATATCAGAAGAAAATTTGGATGCTACAGGAACAAGAAAACCACTAAAATGTGGAAGAGCTGGAGAAGAAAATAATGAAAGGTACCTAATGCTTCCTCAGTAACAATGTGAATTTTAGTTTCTTTATATGAAACTGATTTGGGCTTCTAAACGCTGGTGCAGTAAAGTGGGGCACTCCATGATGGCTAAACCTTCTGACTGCAAAACTTCACCCAGTCACGAACAGATTCTGAATTGCAAGCCTACAGTTATACCAGGTTTGTAGAAAGACACTTCACCTTTATGCTTCAACTATTATGGTTCAATTTTGGATACTTTCCGTCTCCTCTGCCCTAATTTAGCCTATCGATTTTAATAACTAACTGATCATTGCAGTTGAACCAGACGGTGACCTAGAGGAGCTTTTAGCTGCTGCAAATGCTGCTCGCAGTGCTATCAGTGCGTTTATTCTCTTGTCTGATTTTGCCGGTTGAGCTATGTCACATCTCTTTGGGCTGATGCGCTATAACTTTCTGTTTTTTTTTCTGCAGTTGGTGCATATTCTGGACCTTTTTGGAAGGAGATGGAGCCAATGCTAACTTTCATAAGCTCTGAAAATCTGGCTTTCTTAGAGCACCAGGTTGGTGCCCATTATAATTTAAATATGTCATGCTCGACTATACTTGCTTCCTTGCTGGGTTTGGACGAATTCTCACTTGAAATTCGTTGTCAGATTGACCTTGTGGAAGAGCTTGAGATGAACATGTCCTATGGTGGACATAATGTCATAGCATCCACCGACTACATCAAACCACAAACAATGGTATGTTACACTTCTTTGCGTGAGTCATCCCATCTAAGAAAACTTTGTCCTCTCATGAAGTTCATCTCACTTTTTAGAGCTCGTATCTTTGCTTCCGTGCTTGACGTGTTCCATAACATCTACAGGAGGAGATTTCTTCTCAGGTGCTGGCTGCATCTGATTCATCTCTCTCGTCTGAGCTAAGCAAAACCAGTGGAGTTAGAACAAAAGGACCTGTCAGAACTTGTATCCCTTTCGAGGAAAACCACATCAATGGGACACAAAATGTAGAACCCAATGAGTGGTTTCATGAGATGGCCCCGATGGCACACAGACTCCTTTCAGCTTTAATCATGGAAGATAATTTTTCTGGCCCCAGTGACGTGCAAAGAGATATGTTTGCAGCTAGCCATATTTCCTGCACTGCCGACAGATACCTAACTAATGAACTTCAAGTCAGTGACCTAACATATAATTCTGGGTTGAGTGTGGATTTTACACATTCAAGCAATTCTTCTGTGGTAAACCAGAGCCTGTGCGATGGATACACAGCTTCGAGCAATTTCATGAGCTCCAGTAGTCAAATTTCGATCCATTGCGAGAGTTTATCAGATGGATTCAGTGGTGCTGTACACCCAGAATATGGCCCTTTGCATGACTTAATACCACAGATTTCACAGCAGTGTGGAAATTCCAGGAAAAATATCTCTATACCTCCACATGAATATCAGTACAGGCAGATGTCTATGGATGATAAGATTCTGATTGAGCTGGAAAGTATTGGCATTTGTCTGGAGACAGTGGTATGATTCCATAAAGCCTGAATCTCTTTACATCCTGAGCATTTGGAAACTTAAATACCCCTGTATGTAGTTCTTTATAAGTTTATATGCCTAGAAATCAGGTAACATGAAACATCACAAATTGGCAAAATGTGAGCAGTCTCATGTGTTTGTTGGGATGCTAGTTGACAGGGACTTATCTTCCTTGGATGTTATCTGTGGCACACAGGGTTTCTATACCTTTTGTAAACGTAAAACTATTAATGTTGGGCATTTGAACCTTGTACATGGAAGGGTTAAAAATTGAGGAGCTCTGTTGTATGGTTTGATGCTCGTCATAGTTTAAGATAATTTATCAAGTAGCCACAAACACAGATGATTTCGAAGAGTAGTTGAGATCCTTGCAGGAAATGCCTTAATATCGTTATCCTAGTATGCATTTGCTATATATTATCGGTTGTTTTACTCTGGCAGCCAACATGGTTAGAAGCATAATATGCCTAGGCATGCACTTAGTTCACATTTATTTTACTTCTGATATTTGATGTCATTTTCTGCATATTTCAATTTTTGTGTAGTCCTGTCATCCTGTGTAATGGCTGGTTAATTTCATGCAATAACCCGATCAAAATTTACTTTAGTGAACTTTTCCTTTTTTACATTTGATTTTTTTTCTTGCCTCATTTTTGCATTATGATTTCAGCCAAATCTAGATGATGAAGGGGATGAAGACATCAATAAGATGATTTCAGAACTAAGGAGGAGGCTACATGATCAGGTTTGCAACCACTCATAGTAACATGCTTTCAATGCGCTTTAAGTAAAATGTCATCATTTTCATTAAACATTGATGCAATGTGTTACTGTGATTGCGTCAGATTAGTGTAAGCTAGTACAACTTTGTTCATGTTTTTAGAGCTTGGGTTTTGAAGTATTGGTTATTTGAGAACAAAAAAAATGGACACTTGAATTTGAGCATATAAGGCCTTTTTCACCTTGCATTAACATATGGTAATGTAAACTATGCTTGAATGATGTCTATTAGCATCATCAGGTACGATTAACAGATAACTACTAGTTATTTTCCATGGAAGAACTGCATCTTGGTACCCTTCATGATGGTTCGGACTTCGGAGCCATAATATCACGTAGACATCTTAATCTTGCCATCCCAACTTGTGATTATGCCAATTTGAACGCTGGGGGTCCAAATCTAGTCATAGCACAAAATGAAGGTGGTTTGTCCATATCACTAGAAAATGGAAGCATATAAGTGCATATGGAATACCTCAAGGGGTCTCTATAAAAGTTTCAGTGGCTTTAAGTGGTTGATCTACACCATAAGATAAAAGATTCAACCTGATTAGATTGATAATTCATGTTATCCTATTTTAAGACTTCTCATTTGATGCATTTCCTTTGATGCCTTTTCTTATCTCTGAATCATATGTAGTTTTCTTCTCATTAGGGGTTTAACAGTTTATATAATGTATCGTTTTTATTTTGCAGTTGAAGGAAAAGAAATATGGATTGCATAAGTTAGACAAAGCAATTCAAGATACAAAAAGTATCGAGGAGAGGTATAAATGGATTTTTGTTTGTGGATTATATCTTAAATGGCACTGTTTAGGATTTCTTCAGTGGCTAACTTAAAAATCTCCTGACAGGAGCTTAGAGCAACATGCATTGAACAAACTGGTTGAAAGCGCGTACAGTAAACTTCAGGTACTTGAGGCGTCTCTTTACATGGTCGCATTTCTGATATCGATGCTAATACCTTATCACGAGAATGATCATCCTGCTCTTATATATACTATAGTTTTCCTTATAGAGGAATGCTGAGTAATCCTGGATACTGATTGTATGTCTTGATGATATGTAGGGTGTGGAGGCTGTGGAGGTTGTTCATTCTTCTTTTGTCAGCGCTTTAACAGTACAGACTATAGAGGAATGCTGAGTAATCCTGGATACTGATTGTATGTGTTGATGATATGTAGGGTACGCGAGCCGGTTCTCGTCAGAAGGCTGTTGTCAGTAGGACTGAGAAAGAACTAGCATTTTCGTCGGCCTTTGCGAGACGCACCCTTGCCCGATGCCAGAGATTCGAGGGAACGAAGAGGAGCTGCTTCAGAAAGCCTTCTCTTTGGAGCGTGCTATCTGCACCCTTCCCAATCAGCGACGCAAAGTCCACAGAAGGCAATACACGCGCAACCACTGTTTATGAGAGACAAAATCATATTGCTGTTTGTTACTGGCACTGGTGCTTCAGAAGTTAACATCGACTTTTCCTTGCGCATTAATTTCCAGGTGTTACAACAAGATCAAAAAAGGGCAAGAGGGAAAGGGACCGCAGCAGAGAAGCATCGGCAAAGGGCTCCGGTGGAAGATCAGGGCGCCGTTCGTCAGGCAGCGGGAGGAGCGGTGACCGCAGAAACAAGACAAAGTCAAAGCAGAAGCTGGTGCAGCTATCAGCCTCCGGCGACGTCCTCGGCAGAGCCACCGAGCCATCTCCAGCACCGGCAGCGCAGGAGCACCCTGAACCGCCGGTAGGCCCCTCAGGCGCAGCGACAGTCGCCCGGCAATTTAGAACCGCTCCCGGGAATGCCGCCCAGCGATCCGCCCATCCCGTGATGCCAGCAAGCCTGCCTGGACTAGACGACGACATGCTGGACGTCCCGGTGGGTCTCGACGTGCAGGAAGGCGGTGATTTCAGCTCGTGGTTCCCTGATGGACTTGATGATTCGTTGCCGCAGGACTGCGACTTCTCGGGCGTCCTGGAGGTCCCAGACGACGACCTGACTCAGCTGGGGTTCATGTGAAAAAAAAGGAATAAAACCTGATTGTTTTATTTAAACTGTGCATATGTAGCTGCTAGTTGTTACCCATCATTGCAGATTGGTTCCTGTAGCTAGCAAGAATAAGATGGTGAGGGTGCCAATGGCATCTTAGTTTGCAATTTTGTTTCATTGCCATTGATTCCGCCTCTGTTTATCGGAATGCGCATATGGGGGGCTGTTTGTTATAGACTTATAGTTATATATGAGACATTTTTGTCTTCTGGGACGCAAAATTGTTCCTGAGAAAATGGAAAATAAAGCCGAGGTTTATGGCACATGTTCACTTCTGCTGGTGATATATATTTTTGTAAGTTTGATGTGAAATTTAGTTTTTCGTCGTTCGTCGCAAGATCCCCGCACCTGGTCTGATTCAAAGGTATGTAATAAGTTCCTAAAAGAAAAGATGTCTTTGTTTTTGGACAAAGAGGTTTAGTTCTCCCTCAGTTTGCAGCAAGGGTTTTTGAGGCCCTCAAGTATAAGATTTGCCTGCTTCTGAAGCATAGGAGGCACTGACAGAGTACTATTTGGGTGTTTGTAGACTGCTGTCAGCAAAGACAGTTTGGCCGAGTGGTCTAAGGCGCCAGATTTAGGCTCTGGTCCGAAAGGGCGTGGGTTCAAACCCCACAGCTGTCAATACTCCTTTTTTTTCTCTTAATAATTAATTTATTTTTTTCTCTTGGGTGCTATTTACCTTTTGCTCCTCCTGTTCAAAATATTTATACGGTTTTGCTTGCCATGCCATGGTATAAGTTATATCGGATTGCGAACAAAAACTCGCAAAATCGACTTTCGTGGACCAGTGCGCAGCGGCATACATAGAGAATAATAGTGAGAGGACATTCGGAAATAGTGCGTGTGTTTTCCAACGCTGTTTTTTTTCTTCAGTTGGTTTTTCAGCGCTAATCGAGGGAAGTTACTTGGTTGCTCTGTCTTTTTTTCTTTTTCACTGCAAGGTGTGATTAATGTCTTTTATATTTACATTTAATTTTTTAGAAAAGCAAATTCCGGAAGATTTTTTTAGGACAACTGAGGTGATGTGCCTGTTGAGTCTCTAATTTTTTTTATTTATTTTTTTAGAGAGAAATGCCAGTGGCGCTACATTTGTTTATTGGGAGAAAAATGCCAGTGGAGGAGCTACAGACCGAGAGAGATGTTGGCTGCTATATGCGTTTGGGCCTAGTCGACGGCCTCGCCCATCTACGCGACCTCCTGGTCGCCGCCGTATTCCCCCGATCCCCAAATTACTAGCCGGAATCCTCCTCCGCCATTTTTGCATGAGGTCGTCGCCTTCCACGGGGGCCGGTGGTGGCGCGGTGGGCTGAGGGGAGAGCACGGCATAGCGGCGTATCCCTCCCCTTCCCTCCCGATATACTCCTTCTGTCTCATAATGTAAGACGTTTTTTGTCACCAGTGTAGTGTTAAAAAACGTCTTACATTATGGGACAGAGGGAGTAGATTGCAAAGGGAAAAAGTTCACTGCTTGGGAATTGGGATTGTTTCTCCCTTGAAATCACCTTCTGTTTTCTTTCTCGTAGGAAGGCAACTATTTTGTCGATGTCAGAAGGGGCCTGATATAGATCGCGAGTAATATAGTGTTTACCATTTTCAGATTATATATTTGCAAGTGCCGATTTCTTTCTGGGTGTCTGCAAATGCCAATGAAATCGTCAATTTCTTGGCCCGATTAAAAGGGGAAAGAAGCCGCGTGTCTTATTCTTATACAAGATGAGTTCTCGAACCTGGGTCGGCTACAGCTTTTGGTTTTCCGAAAAAAGTAATTGTGTTTTCCAACGCTATTTTTTAGTTGGTTTGATTTGGCTGCTCAGTCTTTTTTTTTCACTCTGAGGTACAATGTCTTTTGTATTTCTATTTATTTTTTTAGAAACAAAACTTTTTTTGGAAGATTTTGTTAGAACAACCGAGGTGCCATGACATTGGAGTTCTTTTTTGAGAAATTCCAGTGGAGCTTTTTTTTAGATCGAGATGTTGGCTGCTATCTGCATATGAGCCCAGTCGACGGCCCAGCCCATCTACGCATGCCTTCACCTTCCACAGATCCTATGGGCTTCCACACTTCCAGAGAATCTTATCAGATTGCGTTGCGATGGATTCATAGATGGTTGGTCGGCTGTGGTGCGGCTGGCAGACGGGAGGGACGGAGAGCACGGCGTACCCTTGATGCAGGTTGCAGGGGTGGGGGGATAACTGATACTGTTCATGCAACTTATTACTAAGTACCCCGTTCCCAAATATAAGTCTTTCTAGAGATTTCAACAAGTGACTAGGAGCAAAATGTGTGAATCTACACTCTAAAATATGTCTATATACATCCGTATGTTGTAGCATATTTGAAATCTCTAAAAAGACCTATATTTAGGAAAGGAGGAGGTATAAGTCTTTCTAGAGATTTCAACAAATGACTATATTTAGGAAAGGAGGAGGGGTTTTCATTCCAAGCAGCCCGGCATTTGTGAGCGTTCCACGTCTCTAGATTATGTTATAATTGCAAGCGTCCATATATTTCTGGATGCCTGCTAAATGCTAATGCCAATGAAATCGTCGATTTCTTTGCTCGGACTGTGCGCAACTTCTCTTACCGCACACACGCACGCAAACTGATCCAGAGGTGTGCAGATTTAGTATGCATAGGTATGTGATAGCATGAACAAATTCAATCTGGCACCCAGTTCAAATATCTATATCAAGCTGAAGGCATGGACACCGTCAGATGTGTGAATTGCACTTCCATAGGAAAGACGATGCTGGCTGGGGGTTTCGGTTCACCAAAGCACCTTCACTAATGAGTAATGCAAGCGATTAAAAGACATTGCCATGATGACCAACTTATTATTCCGTCTTACAAGCTTGTGGCTGCGTGCCCTTCTTCTTTTGCTTTTGCTTTTGCTTTTCTTTGTCTGATGTGCTATGTGTATGTAAAAGATGGAGGACAAAATCAACATACAGTTCACAGATTTAATACTTCATTTCATCTCCTCATGAATTCCTCTTCCTTTTTTCCCCTGTTTTTACTTACAACATGCCAGTAAAGCGGAAACCACTCCAAGTTATGTTATTACCACCTCATGTATATGTTCTCGAACACCCCTAGCCACACACCCAAATATCTAAGGCCTATCTATTTGACATGCCAGATAGAAGTACGACGGTCCATCGCGAATACCTAATGGCAGGACTATGGTGGTCTACAACCATGAATCGCAGAGCTGAATTAATCTTGAAGGCTACACCTTAAACATTATGCAACTTCGACTTTACATAATACCCCCCTTTGGCCTTGTTGCACATGGCAGGTTATCCCCTTTATTCTTTGGACATTCATGATTTGTTTCCTTTAACTCTTTATCTGTCAGAGAACCGTAGTCTTTGCTTGCTGATGTAACCAAGCATCACACCCTTCCTTCGGCTGATGTTTAAGTTTTGTGTATATATAAGTGATGAGTCCAGGCATTGAGACGCCCGTCCCTCTTCTGTCCTATTCATTTTTTTCTCCTACCACCAAAACGATTGACACTGTTCTTCTAATTCCTTCGTCTTCTAATAGCTAGAAGCATAATTTCGATTTCAAATTTTGTTGGTGTTTTCACTCGCTTTTGTGGTTTCACATCCAGTCTAGGATTAATCAATACAAAAAATATATATTTGGTGTTTTCACTCGCTTTTGTGGTTTCACATCCAGTCTAGGATTGATATTCTTTCTAGTCATCAATACAAAAGTAAAACAAAAAATAGTTGGTGTTTCCCCCTTTCCATTCTTGTTCTCCCACGTGTAAAATATAGTCTTTGTTCCTAGTGATCAGCACAAAAAACCAAAAAAATATGTGCATGTTCTAGTCGTTCCCAGAGAAAAAGAATTCTATTTTTTGTTTCCCCGTTCATTGTTGTCCTTTCACATCGACAAAATACTCTTTTTTTCTAGTGATCAATACAAAAATGAATCGATTGCATGCTCCACTTTGCCATTGCTCTTCCACATCTACACTGAATCCCGTTTCCTAGTGATAAACATTGAAAAAAAATATCATTTGTGTTTCCCTTTATGGTTGTTTTTTCAGATCTGCAACTACTCCTTTTATCTAACTCTAGCTTTTGATTGATAAAAAAATAGGAAAAAAATTCATTGGCTTTCCATCATTGCTATTGTGTTATTCTCTTATCCAGACTTTGTTCTCTTTCTGCGGATAAATACCAAAAAAAAAATTTTTGGTTTCACCCCACTGTTGTTTTTCCACATTTATCATTGCTAGCTTTTCTAGTTACCAGCTCCACTAGAAACACCAAAAGATTCCTGGCTTGTCCCAGTACTGAGATATTTCCAGTGAATATGGTTGAGGTCATTTCTTGACATCCGTATTACGGTGCCTAATTCAACCACCAGCTACTTTATATATTCTCCTTTGTGATTTTTTACTCACTTCTGGGCTATATAACAAGCAGGGTCAATTTGCTTGTGTTTCTCAGGACCATACAAGCAAGCTAGTCTGCAGCTTTTAAGCAGAAACATGAACACTTAATGTTTATACTATACAAAGTTATCCCCAGTTCAGGTTTCTTAGCCGCTGAGAGGTAAAACATACATTGATGGTTAATGAATCAGTATTATGTCTACAAAGTTCACCCAGTACGGTTTACTCTATTAAAAGTTGGTACATGGTTATGCTTACAATGTTTATGTCATATCTATATATATAGTAAATTCATTCGTGATGTAAGATGTTGAAAATAATCTTGACGTGCGTGGGGCCAAGTTGTCGCGTGGAGCCGGCAACTGAAGCAGCGAGCCGTGCCCTTGTGGCCGGATCTTGCGGCTGCCATGGTCGTGGGCTGTTTGTTAGCTGCATGTGTGTGTGCTAGCTGACTTTATGCGTTTGTGGACTTACTTAGTGCATCCGTGGGTTAGCTGGTTAGCGTGTGAGTGCATGTGTACATGGAGGTAGTAGGCGAGTCTGGCGCCTGATTTAATCAGCTGTAGCCTCTATGTTCACTGCTGTGCCTGTGCGTGTAGGTGGCTGTGAGGGCGGCTAGGAGTCAGAAACGGTAGTCGCGTGTGTAGCATGAGTATAACACCTAAAAATGTCAACTGCTTATGTTTTCTCAGGACCGTGGAAGGAAATTAGGTGCAGCTGTCAAGCCAAGTCAAAGAGAATTAATATTTGTTTGCCAGCCTTCAGTTTAAGTGTTACTGAATATTGTTTCTTGGTGATCTAAGATCCTGCATGTGACAAGTTATTCCCGGTTCAAAGCTTTTCAGAAGGCCAGCCCAGAGCTGAGAGGTAAATCTATGGTATTTTATCTTTACTGAATTCAATCGTACAGCAATCTCTATATCTTCACTAATTCTTGACATAAATTTAGGAGTTTGTTTACCAAAAAAAAAAACACACCCGGTACTAGGAAAATTACTAAGTGTAACTACAGAATAATTAAAAATATATATAATATGTAATCAATATATCTTGCCATTTATTCTAGAGCAAAGAGTTCATACCTGCTCTTATCTCAGACTGTTTGTGCCCGATCTACATGTTCTGTAGACAAAAGTGAATAGGCCCATGTCAAAGGCTGGCATTTTTTATGTAGGTATCCCCTAAAAATGATATTCGAAGAAATTTAGAGGACAAGCAAGAGATATGGACATCTAAAAAATAATTTAACAGAAAAAATCGACATTACTGACGGACATTCGTGCCAAATAGAACTGTTTCCTATCCTCCTCTCGCTCCAAGTAAAAGACTCCTCACCCTGAAAAATCAAAAGCTGCTCCACTTGTATCTCCCCTTGACCATATTACCACCGCAGCTTTAAAATGTTCCTTCCTTGAACTTCTGATCGAGAAACACCCATGGAGGGTATCCTTCAGCTCCTTCTTCCGCCACCATAAATGGCAGCCACCACCTTCCTAGTACAACGTACTGCACACTGTTTTGGTCCTTACTTTTCTTAGTATGTCATACACAGAACTGTACTTTCTTATCTTGCCAACGTTCCTTGTACAGCAAGTGTCAGATTTCTAGTAGTAGGAGTACTATCCAGTTTAGCTTGTTCAGTGATGGTTGCTTTATATATAAGGCGGGGGGAAACCCTTTTTGTCAGCATGCACGCTATATAGAATTTTTGTTTTGCTGATTATGCTAGCGATAATGTGATTCCATATGAATAACCGATTCACGTCATCTTTTTCTTGCAGGTCAATTTGTGCAAACTAGCAAGTTTGTTACACTACTGAACATAAGTCATGGCATCATCTTCATGGGATAAATGGCGTGATGATTTGAGAGATATAGATTTTTGGTACGATTAGTAACTTCCTTATTTACATTCATTACTTTTACAGCGTGCTTTTTATTGTTTATCCATGTCTTTTTATTGTTAGAACTACCTTAAAGTGGTAATTTTACTTAATTATCATAACGCATTCATTTAGAGTAAATCTATATCTGACATGATGCCCTATCCCCAAACACATATAGTCCTCTACCATAGAAGTAGAGGCTGAAATCCTATCTTGAGGTTGCTTGGCCCCTGCCGTCAATAGAATTAGATGTTACCTGCAACAAAAGTTGATAGAAATAGATATGAACTAACATGCCGGTGTACAGATTAAGCTGAATAACGTTGCATTTGATTATGCGGTGTATTTTGTAAAGTACTTTTTTTTCCTTTTTTGACATAATAGTTTACTGAAGTTATGTTTTCTTACTGCAACAAAACAGTTCATCCACTGTCGAGCATCTTGTCTGGTTCGTCCACTGTAGTCGTCGAGTTGCACTCCAACTCGCTGGTTTCCCACATTGTAACCACCGTTGTATTATGTCTCAAGAGATAATCCAATTCAAGCAGGAGTAGGGCTATTACCCTAGCCTAGGGGGCCGAACCTAGGTAAAATCATGTTTAGTGATCCCTGGTAATCCTAGCATAACCATATGACCAAACAAATCACGTACAAATACTGTACCATTTATGGGCATGGGCATAATTATCGTCGACAACTTTCGCTAATAGTGGGGACCTCGCAATGACAGAATAGATCTACATCATCAACTTCGATCCATTCAGGCGAGATGGAGTACACAGGCTACATCGGTCAAGGGTTTTACGCACCCGCCTCATCTTACGCCAATTAAGCTAGCTGGGTGCATGCAAATTACTTCCAGCCAGACTTTAGATCGAATGCAAATGCCATGGGTTCTGTGCAGGCCCCTGGACTGGAGGGTTACTTTGGCTACCACTTGGAGAATAAACTCGCTGGTTCCTACACCGACCATTGCGGGGTGAACTCGCCCCAGGACTTTTGGTGAAAGTGTGGCATGCCACAACTATGCATGGCAATGCAACAAACAGTAGCCATTTTATTGAAAAGGGGTGCTTTATTACTTAAAAAATTTAAACATTACAAACGCCTTCTACATAACTCAGATGCACACAGCCAAACAAAGTCCACTCACAGAAACAAAAAAAATGCGAAATACAAAGAAACATGTATAGTCTGTATAACACCTAAAGAGGAAGGTGTCAATCCTAAGATCATGCTACCACCCATGTCGGGTAAAACTATCACTCACCATAGCCTCCAACCGTGTACACACCAACGTAAATAGGTCTTGATTCTCCACGCGTTTTGGAGAAGACCATAAATAAACAGTAGCCATAAGCAGCGGCCGTGCCAGAGTTTGGCAATGTATATGGCTGTGAACCAACCATGCCTCAAGTGTATGCATTTTTTTTCGATGTTGGCCTGGCCAATGGCCATTGCTTTGTGCATCACGTACGCTTCTATCCAAGTACACATATCAAGAAGCCCCCCCCCCCACCCGTTCTCTAACATATGCAGAGCCGCAGAGCCAGGCACCAGGACACGCTGGCTCCTCGCCTGGATCCAGTCTAACCGTGCGGTATGGGCCGATCGCTCGAGCTTCGGATTGCAGTGACCATCATCCATCATAAGGTCATAGCAACCCGACGGTGGTGATATGTCTTTCGTGCTTCATTTTAGGCTATGTCAGCCCCTGAGCTGACATGCATGGGCAGAGCTCTCTTTGGCAAGGTGGTAGTCGGCGGTGATGTGCTCCACCGTCGCTGTTGGTCCTTGTGGTGACCACCTTGTCCTGCGGCAGCAAACTCGATGGGGAGTACGATTACCATCAAAAAGTGTTCGTGGTGGTTCATCTCTCCAGGTGGTGGTTGACTTCGGCGGGAGATGCAAACTATAGACGGTGGCTTGACGCAGAGGGATGGTTATGCAACGGCCGTGGTCGCACATCGCATTTAGCTGCTGGGATCAAGGAAAACTGGTGTGGACAATACATAACTGACGTCGATGGTGGTGCTTCTCGAGCATCCTGTCTCGAGCTCCAGGCAAAAAACCTAGGACTGACCGAGTTGGTTATACCAGGCAATGGTGATATTTTACGTCATCAGGCATTACTCGGATATGCTTGGCCTAGTTCTTCAGGGTGAAAACCTAGATTCTAGCCTGGATTGGTTGGATCTGGTGATGGCAGCACTAGATCATCGCTCCCTTCCTGAAGGCGTTGGTGTTAAAGAATATCATATTCCATGTGGTGTCATGTGATAGTTCGTGCGGATATGGTCATTGATGTAGTTTCCTAATCGCGGAACTGATTGCTTTAATTTTTCCCTTTCCTCGCATACGCATAGCTTTTGTCTTATTTGACTTTGCTATTGGCTGACATAATTTTGTGCGTGTGTGTGCGTTTGTATTGGTTGTGTGCATTGTAACTATGCAGAGGCCGGATGTGTGCTCGTGATTTTTGTATATTCTTGATGCTTCACTTTAAGTCAATAAAATCCATCCTTTATCAAGAAAAGTAGATATATCAAGCGCTCTTGCTTTTTTCGGGAAAGAAGATCTAAAAAGAATCTCATATGAGAGGGAACCGAACCTGCGAAAAATCCATGTCTTCCTTACTTTTTTCTGTTCATACAGAATGAATTGCTTTCCAGCTGTACTACTCATACTCCCTCTTTCTAGGTTTGCAATGCGTGTAGGTATTTGATATTTATTTTCACCATCATTTTAACTAACAAAATATTAATTACATGCCATAAAATATATCACTGAATTTGTATTCCAAAAAATTCCTGTGATATAATTCTTTCTGTCACATAACTCATGTATTATTTGTGTAATTGACGGTAAAAAAACTTAAAATGCATGTAGGTCATGTAAACAGAGAATTATCTACGTTTGTTCTACTTTCCAACATAGAATATAGATATCGGTCGAAAGTAATTTAGGTCCCCAAATTTTCATGCAAGCGCAAACATGGTCGAGGTCAGCAGATCAATGTTAGCAACAGATTAGTCGTTGATCATTTCGAATACGTGAGTCTAATAATTAATTTGCTTGTGTGGCCAGGTTTAACAGATACCATGAAGAGGATGATGCAGGTCTTAAGTTCACTATTAATCCATGGAGGTATTGGAATGTTGGAGCGGGGCCCATGGCTTCCTTCAGACTAGCCAGGTCAGGCAGGGTTGAGGGAATCTGTGAGAGCTTTGGGCCCTTCAAATCCGTGATAATGGTGGATCTGAAGCCCACGCCAACGGTAGATGAAGCACAGGGAACAAGTTTCATGAGCATCAAGTACCAGTTAGCCGTCGCTGCAGCAGAGGAGTTGGGGCTACTCGACCAAGAATACAACAGGCTGAAGGAAGAGCACGACGAGTTGCAGTTTTACACCTACGGGTGCAGCGGTACTAGTGCCTCTTATGTTTTGGAGAATCGTGTGCGGTACACTATAGTTCCTCAAATTGGCAAGAAGTTGTCAACCGAGAAGTATTTGCTAGTGGTCAATAACCTCCAGTGGCCAATTGTGCCTGACAGTTTTATGAAGGATTGCGGGTTTCCTCCCCCGCTGTGGACAGATTCTAAGTGGTTCATCTCAACCACTTCTGAGGATGTCTGCAACAAGAGCAAGCTGGAAAACGATTGGGTTATACCCTATCCCACAGATAGGGATGTTGTGGCGCTTACCCTCTCTGCACTGCGTGAATCGGCACAGCACATACTCAACATGACCCATCAAGAAAGCAAGGAATACTGGCATCACATAGCCCTCAATTGCTTCCACTTTGCCATGGTGATCTTTGCCAAACATTCACAGATGGCAGCGGTTACCTCGGACGAGCTCATCCATCATTGGGCCACCCAAGGCATCTTGCCTCGTATGACCAGTAGTGAAGAAGAAAAAGAAACCAACATCTGCAGCAGCAAGTGTGCCTATATGTATCGAGTTGGAAGGGTCATCCTTGAAGCATTTGAGAAATACTCTTTGTTGCAGCTACCATTCTCTCCTGCCAATGAAGCTCATGAAGCCACCAATACTGCTGCACAATTCCTTGCATACCATGCCCTCATTGCAGAAGGCATGACAGTAGGTGAACTCGCGGATCATAAGAAAAAATGGATCGCCTTTTTGGATGATCATGGATGTCATGTAAGCCGAGAATGGTTGGGGCCGGGGGAAACTAGGGGGGCAACTGCACTTATTCTAAGAGGTTGCTCAGACCAATCGGTCATACTTTGCAAGCTGGGCCATATCCTGCCCAAACTTATATTTCTTCATTGTCTTGATCTCTCTTACACTCAACTGAAAACACTCCCTTCTTCTATCGAATGTCTAATAAACCTTCGACTGCTTTCACTTAGAGGCTGCCATGATCTCAAAACTCTTTCCAGTTCACCCACAACAAGTGCCACAGACTCGTCAACAAATACTACGTCATATTCCCCATTATCCACTCTATACAAGCTTGAAATTCTTGATATGAATGGAGTTCCTTTTTCTCATATAACACAAAATGTAGCCAACCAAAAGAGCAACTTGATTTACCTCAACATGTCCTATTCAGAAATATCTACTTTTCCACCAAATGTTTTTCGGGACATGTCAAATCTTGAAGTGCTTATTCTTGCCAGCTGCTCCAACCTTCTCCAGCTTCCTCCTTCCATGGCATTGCTATCCAGCCTAGTAACCCTTGAAGTCACAGGGACCCAAATAAAATGCTTCCCGCCGAAGATATTTGAAGAAATGCAGAAGCTTCAGTCGCTCAAGCTCATCGACAACAAGAAATTGATTTCACTCACAAGACCAATCTCTAGGTTTCAGGGAATCAAGTTGGAAGGGCATCCTAACCTTATATCATTCGTCTTGATCGGCGCACCTCACGTAAGGTGCTTGTCTTTGCGTGGATGTAGGAAACTCGAGTCCGTCGAGATAAAGAATCTTGGTGCGTTGGAAGAGCTAGATTTGTCCGGTACAACTATCAAGGAGCTCCCTGCTGACATCCCCAATATGCCCCATCTTAGGAGATTGCTCCTACTTGGTGTTCCTTCTCTGAGGCGATTTCCTTGGCATAGGCTGGAGCGACTCCCTGGTGTGTTTTTCTTGGATAATTGCTCAGAAGGAAATGGTAATCACTCTAATCAAGTTTCCCAAGTGTGTGTTACTGACGCCAGGTTCTTCTATAGCTTCCATCGCAATGCTCTGAATTTAGTAAGACATGGGAAGTTTTTCCAATCATTTTATATTCGAGTTGCACCATGCATTACAAATAGTATGCAACTGCAACTGCAAGATGAAGAAATCATGCTAGCTAACAAGCTGGACGAGTTGCTACAGAAACAGTTAACATATGTAGATGTATATAGCAGATATTTTGCAGAGAAAATTGCTATTGCCCCACAAATTAGAGTTCCCCTTCACCGAACTAAGCGGCATGTGGATATCACAGGCGGGCAACAGTCACACAATGGTTTAGCATACCTTCTGCATATCACGAAATCAATATCAGTGACATATGATACTTCTATCAAGTCTTTTTCTAACTTGAGCGGTTTTGATGAGCTGGAAGAATGTGAGCTTCAATGGTGCCACAAAATAGACACCGTTTTCCACAACTTCATGGAAAATCTACGGAATGTGCATGTGTCCAACCTCAAAAGTCTAGTTAGATTCTGTTCACCATACTGTTTTGTTGAATTCAGTTCACTAGAGCATCTACACCTGGAGAACTGCCCCAGATTGGAGATCCTGATGACATATGGTGCATCAGCACTACCATGTCTCAAGACACTTGACATCATGTTTTGCTACAACCTCAAGAAACTATTCTACAGTTATGAAGATCAAGATCGTGCTTATGAGCTCCCAAGCCTCCAAAGGATACGTCTACAGGAGCTGCCACTGCTAAAGCACTTTGATGACAATGATGCCATCATAACGGCACCGGCATGGGAGGAGCTCCATATCCGGGGGTGCTGGAGCCTTCAACGCCTCCCGCACCTACAAGGACGCCAGCCGGAGACAGTGAAGGTGAACTGTGAGAAGAGCTGGTGGGGCAAACTCCAGTGGGGGCCACTCCCACACCATAACAACTATGAACCGAAGCTATCCCCAGAGTTTGCCTCATTCGACGAGTCTGCCGACATGAGCAGCTACCTCAGATGAGTCAACAAGGCCTCCATCAAGACATCCATCCATCTATACATCAGTTGGTATGTCATTTCACTCTGTTCTTCAACCATGCAGTCACCACAGAATGCCTTCCTAAATACTACCTTGTTAACAGTGTTCCACCATACGTCCATGTTGTATATATGTCAACCACTCTGGTCTGCAAGATGATACTTATCAGCTCCAAAAGATACGTCTCCGGGAGTTACCACTGCTCCAGCACTTCCATGACATAGACATCGACCTCACCATCACCGCGCCAGTGTTAAAGGAGCTCCACGTCCGAGGGTGTTGGTGCCTCTGATTCCTCCCACGCCTACAATAAGTGTTCCAGCACACCCCCATAGAGTACCTTCCTCAATACTACCTTATTAACGGTGTTCCACCATACTCTACATCCATACTGTATATGTCAACTACCCTTGTGTCGTTCGACCCCCTTGTCTCTAGTCTGTGGTATGCATCCCTGACATGCCCTTGCCTCTCTATACACCCGCATGCCATCCATTTGATTTTTAGAGCTTTTGGCAAATAAAAGTCCAAATTCCTAGGTTATTGTCAACCGACCACTTTGTCCCCTGTGGAATTGGTTTTACTTTTTACTATTCAATCACATTTTATTGGAGTATCAGCTACTCTACATTTGGTGATGTACGAGTGGCATTTGAGTTGTAAATTATGTTAAATTATCAAGTGTGGTTTGTAATGCCATGAGGCATGTGTATTTACTTGATTCAGATAATGGTTTGACTACAACCAACATTGCTAGCTAGTTTTATTTGTGAAGATCCATTTCACTACCCGCAAAAAAAAGAAGAAGATCCATTTCACTATATGATGCAAGTTTTGTGGGTGTTACGCTCTGCCTTTCTACTCTATTTATAAAGAACAGGATAGTCAGAAGGAAACCATTGGACAGGTCTGAGATTTGTAAAGAACAACAATATTTATTTCGGGTTAAGGATAGGCAGCTTGCATAAAGGGGAGCAGATTTCTATTGCAAGTTTTACCCTGCTTATGAGCATACAAATAAGTAAAGGAGGGATTGAAATTATTGGTTTAAAACTATTGGTTAAATCCGCTCAGACTGATGGTCTAAATATACTAACAGAAACAGCCGAGTCTATAGTCATCAAGGTAGCTCCAGCCATTGAACTACTTGTACAAGATCTAAAACTGACGTAAATGAAACAAGCTTTTTAACGTCCATGTGAGTTCACTAGGAGGTGTCTCAAGCCGCTTGCGCACATATTCATGTGTAGCAACCGTGTCAATGAACAACCAGATTTTGTTTCAGTCGACAAGAGGGGACAGACCGACAGAGTAAAGTGCAAACCATCTCCCCAGCTCACCATGGTAGGGGGCGAGGGCAGCAGTCCTTGCCCAAACGATGTGGCATTGTCCAGAGTCCATTCGTCAATGTGCTTCAGGAATTAGTGGCTAGATTTCCTGTTGTAACATCAACGTAAAAAGAGACGGAAAAGATTCATTAATTCTCCACCAGAGAGGGGGGTTCAGATACACATGATGTTAATATCAGTTTGACCATGAACCAATAATTAGGATTTGCGTTCCAATCTCAGAGGGTGGAAACAAGCTAAAGACAAGGATATGAGAGGGTGGAAGAATCTAAAACAGAATGTGGTCATCCCCTCAGAGTCAGTTTTGTGCCTGAAATCTCTACCAGTATACCAAAATCTCGACCAGTATGTGCACACTTCGGTTCGTGCGTTTCCTTTCAGTGTCTGAGAAACTTTGAAAAAGAACACTGTTCAGAATGGATTTGTTTGTTTGTTTGTTTTGGCATGAGCTCCTCAGATGTTTAAACACCATGAAAATTTGCATGCACATTATGCCCTTGAGCATCTTGGATACCTAAAAATTTCAGAATTTCTTTTTTGAGTTTATTGTTCACGCTCGGGTGTAGATGAACCTCTTTTTTTTTGCGGGTGGGTGTAGATGAACCTCGGTATAGAATTGCAGCTAAGGAAGAGGTGGTGAGTAACGCACCGTGTAAGATTATTTTGGCCTGTATATGTTAGAGTTGTGTCGAATATTGTGTATAAGGTAGGTTGCAGTTGGACTCTGAGTAGTATTGTGTTTACATTGGATATGGAGTCGTGTCTAAGTAGGACACTTGTATCCTAGGCCTCTCTTATATAGCGGGGGTAGACACATAATGTAACCTATGCCAACATAATAGCACCGGAATGCAGGGGAAGCCAGCGGCTTGTACCGGTGTCCAGTGCGACCGGGTGCGGTATTGTAGCGGTGTCATGGGGAGGAGCGCCCATAGTCAGGCCCGGGGATGTAGCCATATCAGTGAACCTCGTTAACAAATCTCGGTGTCATGCTCGTGTGATTGCTTGGTCCTCGGATGATCGAGGGTATGCCTCGGATTTATTCTAACAATATATATAATTCGTTCCGAGGTCTACGAAGAGCAAGTTGGTACTACATAAATTTAAGCGGTGTCCGACTGAGTTGCCTGGAACTTTTTTGGTATTTCCGGGGTAAGACTCACAATTATAGACAGACATTAAGTAAGTAATGACTTTACATTGAGCAAGCAAACGGGGAGATTCTCTCGCTAAGCTGCTTTGGCGCACGATTCATATACTCCCTCCATTCCAAAATATAGTGTGTCATCGGTTTTTGTGCTTCAAGTTTGACCATAAATTTAACCAATGAGACTGACTGCGGCGGGAGCAAAAATTATACCAATGAATTCATATTCAAAAGAAGTTTACAATTATATAATTTTTGCTTCCACCACAGTCGATCTCGTTGGTTAAATTTACGGTCAAAATTGTACCTTGAAAAGCATGGGCGTGCTATATTTTGGAATGGAGGGAGTAGCATTTAACATAAACCCTCCAGTCAACATTGACATGTTATTTGGGATGTGGTTTGCTGGAGTGGAACCAATTATTGCGGGAAGTATTCTGATAGGAATATGCGCATTACTTTGGGCTATATGAAACTGCAGAAATGATATGATCTTTAACAGACAAACTCTTACAAACTTATTGTAGGTTATTTACAGAGCTACAATTTGAATCCGTACGTGGTCACTATTCACTCATACGGACTCCGGGGAGCTTTTGGCTACTGGGTGCAACTGATGGGAGATGGTCGCACGGGCTATCTACAACCGATTTGGATGGCGGTCCATTAATAGTATAGGTGTTTAGTCATCTAGTCCTTTTTTTATCGCCGGTTGTGGCTTTATTTATAATTTTTTCCTTTTTATGCTCTCTTTGCAAGCTGTACTCAATTGTAGACTTTTGTTTTGTTTGGATTATAAATAAGATGACCGCATACATCGTTCTGATGCTGAGACCGGGGATATACTCCTTAAAAAAAACAGAGAGATTCCGCTAAGTATTGGTCATTGGGAACGCCAACATCCGGCTGACACTAGCTGTTGTACTTACTGTAACTTGTTAGGCAAGATTTATAGCCACTTCCTATAAAAAAAGCATATCTAATAGCCAAGTAGTGTTACACAAAGCAATAGACAGCATGGTAACCTCCATCACAACCACTTGCATCTCTGGATGTAAGAGTCTCTGCAATACTACTCACAGTTTCATATGCAAGGAAGCTCCAGGCACAAGAGCACCACTTGCGTCACAAGTCATTGGTTCCAAGTCTCCGCCAGTGACGAACATTTGACTTTGTCAATAGGTCTACTCCAAAGATGCTACTAGTAGGAAAACCGATTATTTGACTTCCAATTGCCTTGGGGAAAGTTTACTAATTGTATTAGTATGTTATGTAATACTCCCTCCGATCCATAATAAATGTTGCAGATTTGAACTAAAGTTAGTTCAATCTTAGCTCAAAACTGCGACACTTATTTTTGAACGAAGGGAGTGCTAATTAATAAGGGTATGTATAACCATTTGACATCTCTCTTGTCATGATTAACTTGGTGCTTTATTAGTTTTGATCGTGTTTAGCTAAGGACACATAGTGAAAAAGGAGTGCATTATTTTTTCAATTGAAAACTCATCTGATGACATTATTAAGGATCATTTTACAAACACCATAATTTTAGTAAGTTACAGAAACCCAGCCTTGTCAAAATAGCGCAATATTCAAAAACTTTAAATTAGCATGAACCAGATGTTCCTGGGGCATGTGCGTGGGCCAATTTGCTAGTTTTCTAAAAAAGAACTGTTAACCCAAGTGATTTCATGTGCAAGGAAGCTCTAGGAGGCAGAGCACCACTTGGGTCACAAAGTCTTCGGTCTCCGAGTCTCTTCCGGTGAAATCAACATTTGACTCCGTCAATAGACTTCCATCCTATAGGTGTACCCCGAAGATGGATGCCATGTGCAGATCTCCATCAGCATCTACACTAATACCAGTACTTTACTTGCTACATTTCAGGGTCCGATGCAGAGTTGATAAGCTGCAAATAAATGAAGGCAGCCCCTATATAAACAGCAGCCAAAGCCAAGAATCCATTCACTCAGCTTCATCCATAGCACGCTAGAGCCTGGTAAGTACTTGCATTATATATGAAGAAGTCCGCAAGGCTTGACTCCATCAACATCGTCCGCCTGCTGCTCGTCGTCGTGATCATCTGCGCCGTGAACATTGGGGTAGTCCAGGGAGGCAGAAGGTTTTGGCGGCGGCCTCCATCTCCACAAGGGCGCCCGGCCGCCCACGGGATTTGCCCGAGATGCGGTGGATACGTTTCCACCACCGCCTCTACCGCTGTCAACGAAAGGAAGAACTCTGCCTCCACTACACCATTCTCCGACCTACACCACTAGCCAGTTAGCTATGCTCGATCACTGGCTATTTCGTTCCCTAATGTGCTTCGTCGGCTTTGCTTATTATTTTTTACTACGAGTGGTCAACCCATTTAACGATTTTATACTTTCTCTATTGTGTTGGTCCTGTAATATGTAGTGATCTTTCTGAATTTCGTACGGTGTTGACAGGATTTTTCCCTATAGAACATGTGTCTGAGTTCCTTG